TAGTTGTATTTTCATATGGGGTTTGTAACCTCTGCATGCATTGTCATGTGAAGTTTAGTAAAATTCACATTTTTTTTTATAAAATGATCAAAATTTTATCAAAGTCTTCTCTATAAAAATAACTTAATTTTAAGTATATTTAATAGTTTAAGATTCTTTTATCAGCTTTGGTAATTTAAGATTATCAAATAATAAAGAAAGACAGTATACACAGACATGATATTTAGGCATATAAAACATATTAGGTAAAAGAGTTAGTATTAATTATATAATTATACATAAATGTTTAAAATTATTTTTATTCAAATATAATCTTAAGTTTTAATTTATTTATGGTTTGTATGGTAACACTGTTCCTATCATGTGATATATCACAAATGTTCCACTTAATCTTTTAGATATAGAACATCAATTTAGTTTACAAATTAATACTTATCATTATTTGAAAAATTAAATTAATTATTCAATGCACATATATTGCATATAGTAATTTAGAATTTATGAAATAAAAAACTTTAAAAAATGTAAAAGGTGGAAGGGGGGGGGGGGGGGGGGGGACCGATCAAGGCTTTATCCAAAAAAGAAGGTCGTGCATAGATATTAGTTGGGTGATGAGCAATGACTCAAGGAAGGGACATCAAAAGCAAAGTTACGTAACAAAGGGTAACGCATACCAATGCTCGTCGTCGTAGGCAGGGTTTAAAGGCATTATTAAAGCTTTTGCATCATCTTTCTATTTGCCCAACACAGTCGTAGTGATTCTACTTTTTTCATGAAAAGGGGATAGGAAAGAAGAAAAATGAACTTTGTTTTCTCACAAGCTATATATATATAACTAATACTACATCTTTGTCACCCTTTCATCACTTTTGTCCAAGGATGACTCTTGTGATTTGTAAGATAAATTCTTAAGAATAAATACCCTTCTCCTCGCATTGAAAAAAATAAAGAAAAGAAAAGAAACCTTGTGCAACTCTATCTCTACCTATTTCTCATGATTTTGTGGTTGTTGTGTTTACCAGATACTCTATGGTTTTCTTCAATTGAACTGTCTTTGAGCCTCATAGAGGATATGCTTTCGTTACCATGACCAAATCTCAGAAGGATATATAGGCTTAACTTGAACTTGAATCTTACCTTTTATGATGTAACTAAATTTGGAGGCTCATTACTCAAATGAAAATGATTTGCAAGGCACATAACCGATTAATTATATAATAAGTGTTATTTGTATTAAATTTAGGGTCAAAAAGTGAGTTTAACTTTAACTTAATTTGGAAAGCATGTTGGTCATTCAAGCATTAGGACAGAATGGTAGCAGACCAGAACATCATTTACCAATTATTTACCCAACAAAAAGTAGTCAAGCCTATATATAGTAGGAACTGCTATAGGTTCGCCCCTCGATCAAAATCAAATGATCAAACAACCAAAGTTATGTTAATTAATTGAAATTATTTCGCTATTGACCAACGATTGCATTGCTTCTCATGAAAGATCCAACATAACAATTGTTAGATCCAAAGTTGAGGAATCCACTTTCCACAAAATTTAAATTAACGATTCCTTTCCTTGCTCAATTAGCTCGTTAATTTCTTTAATGTCAATGAAAATCCCTCCAGACCAAAAATTTGAACGATTTAATGAAGTGATTGAAGTCGCACATAATTTATAATCAATTAGGAAACAGGAGTATGATATTTTAATATTAGTATAAGTTTAAAAAATCTTATACTTAATTTAAATTTTTTATTTAATTTATATTTAATAGTTAATGAAATAATAAACTATAATTCCTTAAATGTAAATTAAATAAAAAGTTCAGATTAAGTATAAAATTTTTTAAACTTACATTAATGTGAGAAAATTTTATCTTTTAATAAATATATTAATTGTATCATTTTGCTTAATTGTTTTGCATTTTAATGAAAGTGTTTTCTGTTGTAAGATATAATTGTTAACTAATACAAATGTAAAATTTTAGATATGATCTTTTTAAAATGGCACAACTATCATATCTCTATATTTAACTAATTTAAAAGGCAGAAAGAAATTTTTAGAGAGTAAAGTGGATTGAATTACTCATTATTGAAAAATAACTGTTCATACTACATGATGACAATGATATACATTTTAAATTAACACCTTTCATATTATGTTTTATCTTATAAAGTGAGGCAAATTCCGACGGTTTTTCTTGTTCGGATAATCTCGGATGCACACTATATCATCACTTCTAAATTCCTTTAAGCATATGGTGGGTCTATATATATATATATATATATATATATATAGGCATTGAGATTTATGAATTTTGTTTTATTCTACGAAAAATATGCAAGGAAAAATTACTGTTCTTGTACATAAACCCAGTTCTTTTCTTTTATTATTATTATTTTTTTGTTATAAACGAACTGCCAAAATTTACTCCTTTTAAAAGTGCGATGATTAACGAAATAGACATTGCCCCTTCAAATTACTGTTTTTGTTTTATAAACCAAAATTTCCTATGAAACTCCAACAAAATATTCCGACTGATGATACTAATGCAAAGTTTTTGTGCCAAACTAGAATTACTCGTGTGACAGAATACTATATGATCAACTTGAAATTGCATAGTGTAGAAATAAACAAACAGAAACATCAGAACGACTCGGTGTTCCTGACTTGGTCTGCCAAAATCATAGATACACTCATAAATGTTCTAATTAATATGTTGATGGAAGAGAGAACTTATATGGGTGTGTGTGTGTGTATATTATATACACACATTGATTTTTGTTTATTTTTAATTTTAAAATTCTATATAAAAATAGTGAAAAAAACCTTCAAGTAAACAGGCTTTTACTTTCTTTTCTTTCTTTCCTTTTATTTGCTTTTATCTTCATAAAAAGTAAATCTAAAATAAATATTCAAATTCAAGCTCAAGAAAAATATTGCCAAACAAAAATTAGCATAGACTTGAATGCACCTCCTTGACATTTTACCTGAGGTCTGGGGCAAAAAAATATTTTAAAAGTTCATGTGAAAATAAATATAACCTTGATTTTAAAATGTCAATTTTATGTTTATCTTATACTCATCAATTTTTTTTCTCTCTCTCTCTGTAATCTTATCACATATCACGTTTGTTATTATTTTTTTTTTCTTCTCCATATCAAGAATGTATACATCTTTAGAGCATTAAACAAACATTTCTCAATTAGATATAGGAAAATTTTGGAGAGATTGAGAAGGACAAGGAAAAGTAACTGATTGTGAAAATCTTTAGTTTTTGTATACAACATTACTCTTGTTATAATGAAAGTAAATGGTAAGTCGTAAAATCAATAATTTACAAAGTCGTACATTTTATGTTACAATAGCCGTACTAGTTTTAATAGAAAGCTAAATTAATTTATCTATATGGGGTGAGGACCTAATACTTTCCTTTAAGACAAAAATATAAAATGATTACTAAACTTAATTCCAATTAAAAGTGATTGGTCACTTTGACTAGTTGATTTTGCTATTTCTATGCTTGTAATTCATTGCAGTTTAATATAATCAGGATACACGCACACATATGATGTTGTGTGAACTTGACAATGACACACATTGATTGGTAGACAGAGATTATTCATACGTCGATTATCAATAGAGTGTATTATAGGACCATCCTTTTTTCTTATGGAATGTTATTAGGACCATCCATTTGAATTCTAAAACTTGTAACCATAAAATTTAATTTCGATAGAGTCTTAAGACCCACCGGTGGTTTTTTCTTTTTCCGTCAATGTTCTATCTATCTATAATTTGCCATTTTTCAGTAATTTGCTTTCGTATGCAAAATTTAAGTCAAACGAGACTAACATTTAATGGCTCAAAACTTCCGAAGGACTAAGAATAATTGATTACTCCATGAAATTAATTAATCTCAGCCTCACCTTTCACCTGATATAATTTTCATAATTATTACTTGTTTTTGTAGACAGAATTTAAAACATGATTTTTTTTTTCTTTTAAATTTTTGTATTGGTTCTTTTTGGTATGTTTGTGTGTCCGATTTTGAGTGGAATATATGTACATTCTTCACTAGTATGTTCCAATGTCTATTTGGTGACTTGAGTACCATATTGTTCAAAGACAAATTTACCCACTTAGAGACTGAACTTTTCAATCCATTACAGAGATAAAGTAGGGTAAATCTGACTTTCTATTTTGTCCTCATTTTGGTTAACCACACATATCTGTAACAACCCACAAATATACCTTTGATTTTCTTGGTTGATTATAAAAAGAATATGACAAGAATAGGATGGATGGGTCCAAATTTATGCTAAGAAGAATGCATGATGTGATTTGCGGAGAATTAGGGTTCATCATGACCTCAATGAGTGGTTTATAATTGGGCTGTTAACAAAACAAAACAAATCCCTAAGATGTTGAAATTTGTGTGCAATCATGTCACTGTAAATTTCAGATTTTTATTTTATTTTATTTTTTAGATTTGTGGAAAAGAACCAAGCCCTAGGTTTCAGTCCTGTGAAAGGGGGTTTCTGTGTACGTGTGTGCGGGTGTGTTAGAAAGTTTAAGTGTAGAGCTGGGACAATGCACACGTTAAAGGTTTATGGGAAATGTTCTACTTTTCCATTTTTAATCCAAAGAAAACTGAAGGGAAAAAAGAGTATATTTGTAAAAAGGAATAAAAGTTTACAACTTATTTACCTTTTTCTTTTCTTTTTTCCCTCCTTATCTTATTTTCCATTATTTCCTTTTGTCATTCTTTTTTATCCCTTTCTCACTCCAGTACCCTACCCCCCACGTCCACAAAAGAAACTCCTCTCTCTCTCTCTCTCTCTCTCTCTCTCTCTCTCTCTCTCTCTCTCTCTTCCCCACCACCCCCTACTAGAGCATAGTCCCTTAAGTGTCATTTTCTCACATATACTTCACACAAAAGAAACAGCCATTCACTTCACATACCTTGTCATTTCTTCCTTCTCTCTCTCTCTCTCTCTCTCTCTCTTTGCCGTCTCCTCTCAATCTCAAATCTCTGCTCTGCAACTACTCCATCAAATTGATTCAATGCTCCAAACTCCATCACACATCTTTACAAAAATCTAATTAATTGCCCTCACCCTGCAACCACACCCCAAGCTCAACACACTTTCTCCAATCCTTCAAATTTTCCATACTATATATATACATATTGCACAACAAAACCAAACTGAGCAGAGGGAAAAAAAAGAAAAAGATAAAAAAAGCTACATAACTCAACAGAAGAGAAGCCAAAGCAAGAGATAAATACCTGTTGGTGCGTGGCAAAGATTGTTTGCAACAAAGGATGGAGCTATTCCCAGCACAACCAGACTTGTCCTTACAAATCAGCCCTCCAAACACCAAACCCACATCAAGTTGGAGAAGAAGCACAGAAGAAGACATGGATTTGGGATTCTGGAAGAGAGCTTTGGACTCTAGAAACTCTCTATCATCAATGGCCAAAACAGACTCTTGCTTCGACCTCTCCCTCTCTAATCCAAAGGTTTCTTCAGACACCAACACCTCCAATCTCATTCACCACTTCCAAAACAGTGGTAATGCGAACAATAATCCCTTTCAATCCTTTCAGCAAAACCATTACTTTCACCACCAACTCTTCCAGCACCACCAGCCACAGCATCAAAGCCTAAGCCAAGAACTGGGGTTTCTCAGACCGATTAGAGGAATTCCAGTGTACCAAAACCCTCCTCCAATACCATTCTCTCAACATCATCATCATCATCCTCTAGAAGCTTCCACCCCCACCCCTTCTTCTATTATTTCCAACACAACCACAGGTTCAAGTTCAACCCCTTTTCACTCTCAAGCTCTGATGAGATCAAGGTTCTTGTCACGCTTCCCTGCTAAACGTAGCATGAGGGCTCCAAGGATGCGTTGGACTACCACCCTCCATGCTCGCTTTGTTCATGCCGTTGAGCTCTTGGGTGGTCACGAAAGTATGCTTCATTTTTCTTTTCCCTTTTTTTTAATATGAAAAAGGGTTTTTTTTTTCCTCTTCTTTTTGCTTAATTTTCTTCCTTCTTTCTCGTTTTCCTCTTACACCTTTCCTCTCACTTTCTTTAACATGAAAATTATTCAAGAAGACAACGAAGAAAAAATGAGAGAAAGTGAATTTATTTGCCTTCTTAATTATTCTAATACATAATTAAAATCAATTTTCAACCGATAATAATCTTTCTTTCCGCTGGTGGTTCATTAGGGGCTACACCCAAATCAGTTCTTGAGCTAATGGATGTGAAGGATCTCACTTTAGCACATGTTAAGTCTCATTTACAGGTAATCTTATTATACTCTTTAGTTGCACTAATTGGCACTTGTTTGCAATTAATCTCAACATGTATATAATTAATTATATTCGTTAAATAGTATTTAAGCTGTATGTTCTTAATTTTTCATTGCGAATTTCTTCAGTCAGATTGATGGTGGTACGGTTCTGATTGGGTTTTTAATGGTGCTTGTAAGATGTACTATACATATATGTGTGTTTAAATTCACGGCCTACATTTACATTACAGGAAGCAGTTAAGTCATCTATATATATTTCAAATTCCAATGGTTTCCTTACAAAGGGTCTCTCAAATCCTTAGCGCTTCTTTTTCTATTAGATCTGCTGCCTCTGCTTCTGCTTCTGCAACCTAATAAACAGCTTTTTGCTTTGGAAGAATGAACCAGCCAAGTTAAAGGAAAAGAAAATAAATAAATCAAGAGAGAGAAAGAGAGAGAGAGGTACTTATCGATTTCTGAAAACAAGTAGGACAAAGCCCCATGAATCCAAAATGAGCCGCAGCCAAGCCGAGATCAGACAAGCTCATTGTTCAGTCCATGCCATTAAAGAAATAATATGAATATAAATTACATTTAAAAAAGATTTTTAAAAAATGATAAGCAAGTACGTACATACCAAACACCATCATTTCTCAATGATCCGTTCCTCAGATATATGGGTTTCTTTACCATGCCAGCTTTAACCATGGTTAGTCACATGCTTCCATGCATATGCATATTGCCATATCCATAAATGCTTCTGTATTAGAGCTTGTACTATACTGCATATCAATTTAATACTTACAAGTTACAACTTAGTAGGTAGTTCTTATTCTTAAGGTAAAACTCTTGGATTTTTATTAATATTCCTCTTTGTTTGATGTGTTATACACAAAATAATAATTTTTTACTAATATTATATTTTTAGCTTCGGGGTTTTTTTGTCGTTTTCTTAACTTATTACAGAATATATTATCTGATGTTTTATGCATAAATTCTAATCCAGATGTACCGGACGGTGAAAACTACAGATAGAGCGGCGGCTTCATCAGGTTAGAATCTATGTTCATTTTGTCAAAGATTGTTGCAAGATTAAGCCAAGAAAGTTTAGCATTGTTGGCTACCTTGCTCGTCCTCTTTTCTTTAAGTTTTTATTTATTTATTTTTCCTCTTTGATCACAAATTAGGGCAATCGGATGTGTATGATAATGGATCATCTGGAGATACTTCTGACGACTTAATGTTTGACATCAACTCCTCAAGAAGGTCTGACCTATCCGTTAAGCAGGGAAGATCAAATGTTAATCAAGATAAAGAATATCATGGGCTTTGGAGCAACTCTTCCAGGTAATGCTTCTTGCAGTAGTTAAATATATGAAGACTCGTCCATTTATTATTATTATTATTATTATTATTATTATTATTATTATGTATAGCTAATCAATTTTAGTTAAATACATATTCCCTTTAGGGGATTAATTTTTTGTTTAATTTTATGCTTTAATATAATGTATCACGTACGTAGAGTTATCTTATTTGAAAGCTATTGAAGCATTTTTTCAGTTTTATTGATGCTAGTGCAACATGTTTGCATGATATTGGAAACACATTAATTTTCTTAGAAAATGGAATCTATTTCAAAATTATGGTCAAGTTGCAAGAAATATTTTTCTTGTTTCACTTTTATATATTTAAATCATTCTATGCTTCCCCGGTGATGTTGCAAAATTACTAATATAAATCAGAGCAATTCATGCATGTCATATTCACATAAGCATTTCTCTCTTTGTTCCTTGCTTTCTCCTCTCTTTTTTTCTCTCTCTCTCTCTCCTTAAACCTCACATGCAAACATGGTTGGGCGCAAAAAATCACAAAAAGAATAAATCATTTCAGTTTGCTTTGTTCTGTCTGTCCACAAACCATGAGCATCCAAACTCCATGATGGGGTAATAATTTACTTTCTTCTAGTGGGTGAAAAGGAAGTAAAAAAGGAACCCCCACACACTCCTACCATTCAAAGAGACAGGAGTTTGATATTTGCCAATCCACCTTAAAAATAGAGATATCTCTTTCTTTAGGATTTTGTGGGGCTCAGACATTAGGCTATTGTATGGGGCCCTACAAATGGGAAACTTAGTGTCAAAGATAAGCCCTTGGTAGACCCATAATTAGAAATCTCTCTTGGTGCCAAAGCGATATGCCCTTTGAAACTTCCTTGAATGGTCCTATATATACATATACATATATATAATATAGTCATGGGCAATGAGTTATCAATTGGAATGGCTTCAACTTTATTTCAATCAGCAGAATAAGTAAAAGGGGCTATAAATAAGATAGTAAAAGATGGCTTTCTTTTCTCATTTTGCTTTTTATCTACATGGCTTCCAGTAATGGGAAATATTCTCTCGATGTGTTTGGTTGTAACAGGGAAGCTTGGTTGCATGGGAAGCCAAAGGCTGATTCTGTTGGAAACGTGCCTTCTCTTGAGGTACGTAAATAATGTTAATTACTCAATACCCCTTTATTGTCCAATATTGGCCTTTTGTTCCAAAGTTATATTTATACACAAATACCAAGCTGCGTTTGGAATGCATGAAAGGGAGTTAAGAGGAAAAGGAAATACGTTTGATCTTTTTCATCTTGCCATGCACATTATAGAGATGAAAAAAGGAAGAGGCTTTCCATAAAGCTGCTTTGTCCTTCACAAATTCAAATGGGTAGACCAGTCCTTTTCGCATTTACACTAATTACGAAGGTTAAAAACAATTTTTGGTGTAAAAGACCTCCCTCTAGCTATGATTTATTAATGACCACTTTGAAAAGGACCATATAACCCGAAAAACCTACCCCGTTTGACTCAATGATCAATGATCTGAACTATGAAATTATAATATATATATATATATATATATAAGGCTATACAGAAAAATAATTGGAAGCTAGCACATGAACAAGCAAGTTCTAACACTTAGCAGGCTTTTAGGTGTACCCATCTGAAGTTTCTTTTTCCTCGAGCGATATAAATATTCTGTAATTATTCTCTGAGTCAAATGTCCTTTGATTCCCAAAACCTGTTCACACACTTCTCTTAATTATGCTAAATTGCTCTCTTTGATTTTTTTCCCCCCTCGCTTTTCCCTTTATCATATTCTCAGCATTACATGCTGATCACAGAAAAAAAAAATTCTCATCATTACACTAGAATTATATATTCTGTGATGATTTTATTTTTCTTAATTATTTATATTTGATTATTCAGAAGGAAATGGATCCAAAGTGCCTAAGCTACGAGAGAATATCAGATGGAAGCTCATCCTCAAACCTTTCAGGATCAAGCCCGAAGAAACCTAATTTGGATTTGGATTTGGATTTGGATTTCAGCTTGGGCCAGCCACTTTAATTTTAGATCTTGATCCCTTCTGAACAAATATTATTCGTTAAGTATTATGAAACTGAAAGAGGTAGAGGGCTGGAATGAGAATCAGGAACCCGCTGAGAAAATCAGAGAAAGAGAAAGCTAAAAGAAAACAAAAGAGAAAAAAAGAAAAGTAAAAGGAGCTAAAGAAACACAAGGAGACAAGAAAGACTGAAAGCAACAAAAGGAGGGGGTGGGGGAAAAAAGTATGGCCTTCCTATCAGAGCTCTTCTGAGATCCAAATTAACATATTATATTTTCTTGGTAAATATATGAAATCTAATTGATTTGTATGTTTTTGCAATCTGAGAGAGAAAGAAAGAGACATGAGAGAGAGAGAGAGAGAGAGAGAGAGAGAGAGAGAGAGAGGGAGAGAGATGTTAAAGTATGAAGTGATCCTTGGTAATTGTAGTGGAGCACTTTACATTTATGAAATATTTAGATATTTCCACCAGAGAAGTTGGGTTCCTAATCCTATATTCAATCCTACGCCTAGGCACATGCTTTACACTTTAGCAACAAAAGAAAGAATTGAGAATATGGACTTAGGTAAAAGACTGAAATATTTGAATAAAGTGTCAAAAAAGAATGCGAACATAGTCAAGATACAAATAAAGGGGCAATGATAACGTATGATATTTTTAAAAAAGGAAAACTAAAAAGAAAAAATATATATTCCTTATGCCATTTGAAAATCATGTTAAACTTTCCTTCTGATATTGGGACTTAAAATCAATTCCTCTCAAATGATTTTTCTTCTTTTTAATAACCAAAATTTACGTCAATCTTATATTTTTGTCATTAATCATATCCCCTAACGGTGACGTGTAATTTTCCTTTTTAATTTTGTAACACGTATTTAAAGAATGTTGTTTAATATAGGAAAAAAGCACGTCATTATTTCATTAAAAAATTTAATGAAAAAGATATAAAATTTTTAAATCAGGTTTTTTTATAAGTAAAGAAATTTAGTGCTATAAAAATAATATATTAAATCAGTATATGTACTGTTCAAACCTTTTAAAGTTGATTAACTTGCTATATTACACTGATACACATGTTCACAGTAATTACCTTTCCCCAATAACTCACTCTTTTATTTGAAAAATGTTTTGCGCCATTACAAACTTTTGAAAAATAAGGTTGCAGGATTCATATTCGAGTCAGAAACACATATATAATAAAAGGGGATTTATTCATATACAAAATTGGAATATGAAATCATACGTAAGAAAATTAAACATATATTACTTACATAATTCTGTTAGTACACTAAAAATTTAGTTATGAAAAGGTAAGCCTAAAATGTTTTTTTTAACAGTTTTCTTAAATTTTGTAGGAAGGTATTTTTCAAAAGGTGTATATAGGCATTCTAAATTTTAGAAAATTTATTTTTATAATAAGATTGTTCAAATTTCCTTACAACTATTAAAAAAAAAAGATAAAATGTACAACAAAATTAGTGATGAGATGAAATCAAATAATATATATATATATATATATATATATATATTCTTAAAAAATTGTACAAATAATATTATTACAAACATTATTCTTTTATAAATAAATATTATTAAATTTCAATTCATCTTATTGGTTTTTAAACTTCAGTTATTATTTCAACAACTTTTTCTGTTAACCTAGAGTTAACCTATTAACATCTCTTTTCTCTTTTTTTGAAAAAATAATTTATTTTTATTTGGTAAATGGATTATTATTTTTAAAATAAAATATTTTTTATTTTTTAAATAATAATATCTTTTAAAAAATTATTATATCACGTGACTTCTCTTTCATTTAGTATTTTATTTTTTATTCAGTATTTCTGTGACTTTTAAAACATAAATTTCTTCTCTTTAACTTTGTCCTATTTAATATGATATTATGTTTATTATTAATAATAAAAATGTTTGTATCCTTAAATATACTAAATTTAAAAATAATTTACAATATGTCCTTTAATTTTTTATTTTAAAGATATTTTAATTTAGTAATACTTTTATGACATATAGAAAATTTACTAATGATTAAAAAAAAGATTTAATTACATTTTTTATCTTTTCAATTTAGGATATGTATGATTTTTATCTTCCTAGTTTTTGGGCTAATTATGTCTATTTAATTTTAAAATTACACAACTTTAAATCTTATGAAATTTCACTAAATAACTTTCTGATATTTACACTTTAAATAATTACACAAGTTTAAATCTTATCAAAATTCAGGATATGTGTGATTTTTATCTTCCTAATCACACTTTAAATAATTTTTCAAATCTTATCAAAATTTCACTAATTTTTTAAAAAATTTAAATTATTTTACATAATAAATTCATCATTAAACCTTCAATTATTTGAATAGAAATTAATAATTTGGTAATTTAAAGTATAATAAAATTAACAAAAAATTAATTTTTTATCATTTTAAAAGTAAGAAAATAATTAACTTTAAAAATAATAAAGAAATAAAAAGTATACATAAACTAAATTTAAATGGAAAAAAATCCTATTAAAACTAAAAAAATAATGATAAATGTTATGTTCTCTGCTAACAAACTCAGAAGGGCAGATAAGACAAAGGAATGTTTCAATCGTTGATGGTGTTCATAGGTGTAAATTTACAAAACTTGGTTTAATTGGAGATTCAACTATTTGAAGGATTTGGCATGAGCCGTCGTATGGTTATTGATTCAAGCGATTGTGAGAGTTTAATGGATATTGGATTAGTTGATTTACAATTTCATAGCACTTTGCAATTTAGTTTGGATACACACCCTTCTTTACATTTTCTTTTTAAATATTTTCAATTTCTAGTTTTACAAGTGTTTTCTTTTCATATTCACTGTCCCAAACCCAACCTCCAACGTTTGTTGGGAAAATATTCTTTAAGAATTAGTTCTCATCTTCGTATTTGCAAGAAATAAATAATTAATCTTATTAAAATCAATAAAAAATAATTAATACTATTTTATATTATATTTCAAAAATATATATAATTTAAATATTAAATTAGTGGCTAATATATTAATATATTAATGATGAGTAAATATTTTATTAACGTAAAATTTTAAAATAAATAAAAATATTAATCTCAACTTTTGAAACTTAGTTTAAGCATTTAATAATAATAAAATTTTATTAAAAAATAAGTATTTATTATATTTTTTCAATTTTAATATTTTAACAATATTCTCTTTCAATAAAAAATTATTTTTATGTAGTTAAATTTAATTCTAATGATTAAAGTTAACAAAATTTTAAATAAAGATATAAAAAATTAATTGTTAACATATTTAAAAATAAATGTTTATTTGTTACAATTAAGACAAATAATAATTATAGTCATTTATTATAAACAAACTTGTAAGTAATATTTGATTTCAGAAGAAATTTATTTATAAAAATGTTACCTTACTTTTATGTGATTTTATATTCTTAAATATTCAAACAAAAATAATTAAAAAATATTTATATTATTTGATACACAAATCTTAAAAATAAAAAAATAAAATAATGATAATAAAGTGATACTTGTGTAATTGAGAATAAAAAATTATTCTTTCAAATTAAATGATTCCTTAACTTTATTATTTTTCTCATAATATCCTTTAGTAGGAAGTATGAATTTATTTTAGTTTTTAGACCACAGACATTTTTTATAAAGAGCAATGTTATTCAAGTTTACTTAAGATTGAAATGATTTTACGCCAATATTATTATTAAAAAAAAGTTGGATTAACAATGTTCACTTATTTTTTAAAATTAAATTGTATCAATATTATTGAAATAATTAAAGTAGGGACAAAAATAAATACATTTTAATCATACTTTAATTTTGATTAAAAAAATCAGTAAATTAAATATATTATTTTTAAAAAGTCTTAAAAGAATCTAAAACTACAAATTTGTCGAATTAACATTTTTCGATAAGCAAAGAAATGTTATTAAGGGAAAACACGGGATGCTCAATCCCTTATACAAATCAAAATTAATAGGACAAATAATTAAAAAAATGTATTAAAAAATTAAATTTATTCAAATAAAAATATTATTTTCCTATTACACTTGGAAATTAAAATAATTAAAATAACTTGTTAATTAATAGATTTGGTAACCAATTTTTATAATAGTACTGTAATATCAATTACGTTCAATATATAATATGACCCGGCATGTCCCAACCGATTCTTCACCTAAAATAAATAAATTGGCCAAAAATGAAAAAGAAAAAAAATGGTTGGGTTGTGTATTATAAAACTTTAAATGACATTTATTGTCCAATAAAAAGGAGGAAAAGCCCAAAGCCTAAAAGAAAAGGAAAAAGCTTTCTATTTAAAAAAAAATGCTCCACTTAGACCAAAACTATGTGTAATCATATTTTGTTTTGTAAATTTATAGTTATAATTGTGATATTGCAACATGCATCTAATTGATTATTTGAGTTTTAAGTTTTAAACTTGTTAGAGTAGGTTAAATTGTCACCATCTTTACTCACCAAAAAACAAAAATCACTATATTTTCCTTGTTAAACTAAGTTATTGTATCAACTAATGAGTTATTTTTATTTTCAAAGATTCAGTGTAATTTATTTTAGATTGTCGGGCGCCCCACTCAAATATCACATTGAAAGCACGCATTATACCCGTCTATAGCTTACTTCTTTATTTTAATAAAAAAATTTAAAATAATTATATTATACTTTTCAATCTTACATAGAATATAAAGATGTCAAAAATGAATTGTTCGATTTAATTCGAATCAATCTAATTAAAGTTTTAAATTTTATTTTGTCAAGTCAAAAATTTATTTCATATTCAAGTACATCTAAATTTAGTTTAAATTTGTATTTTATACTTAAAAAAATTGTACTAGTCTAAGCTCAATTAAAGAAAAATTTAGATGAATGAGTCTAAAATTTAAAGTTTATATTTTAGTAGAATTAATTAAATTAACCATTTTACCTACTTTTTAATAAATCATTCCACCAAGTGATGAACTAATCATTAGCATATATATATATATATATATGACATTTTCTCATAGTTAATTTGCCCGGTGAAACTTGTGATTGTAATTACTCTTATGGATAACTCGCAAATCTCAGCCAATTTCCTTTTAGGAGGCAATTAAGAATCCTCCCCAGCCAAAAAGAAGGCATGGATGTATTAAATTGAAGCACAAAAGGAGGGCATGTAAGGAAGAAAAAGAAAATAGTGATTGGTGGGTGTTAGCTGAGGCTTTGAGCATGTTGGTGTAAAAGGAGGAGTTGATGAAAAGAAACAAAAGTAGATGGTGTTAAAATTTAGGAGGAGAGAAAAGAAAAGAAAAAGAGAGTGCTTTAGCTTTTGTTTTTCTTTCAGCTTTAATTGCTTTCTTTTTGGTTTTGCACGAATGCATGGAGTCATCAGGATT